GACAGGATCATAGCGCAGCGCTATCTGCTTTTTCTAATATTTACTGCTTGCAACTTCTGTTTCATCTTCAATGTTTGCTTGAAGAAACCCCTTCGCTTGAGCTGTTTGCCTTTTTCGATGTTTCATATTTAAGTAGAAGTTGATTTTGATTTTGCCTTTTCCTTTTGCATGTAACCCCCGTCCCCAATTTTGTAGAGACTTCTTATGTTCGCGTAAAGGTCCTTGTTGCTCCGCATTTCTCACTAAGTCCTCACGCGAAATGGTTTAGTGATATTAGACTGTTTAACCGTTCGAGCAAAGGATATCTATATGATTCCTTTTGGGGGTGTCAACTGACAACAGTGACGTTTTTGTTGCAATTTGGTGACGGAATAAAACGAGACTTGCGATATTTTTCCCCGTGTAGAATGTACTAGTTTTATAACACCCCCGTTCTACATTCACCATCAACATTGAAACGGCATTTATCGGTTGTTGGCATAATACTATTACTACTACTACTACTACTGATCACGCTGTCAGGTCTTCGACAGGGAAGACACGCCTTCCTCGTGCAGGTCAAAATGACTTAATTTATTTTCGTCTATTCTTGATACAATGCGCGATTAAGGCTGCTATTGCACTGGCACAATTCATTACCCGACAAACACATATTAAGCAAATCAACCTCTCCTTATCATCGTAATAGCGGCTAAAAACGATGACAGCACCGAAGGCAGCAGTCGACGCTATTTTTCGTACCTATCCGAATTCGCCCGTCTGACGGTTATTCGGTCGGTCGATCGATCGATCGATCCATCGATCGTTCGTTCGCTCATTTCTGCTGATACTTTTCGTAACAGCCCCAACCTTTCGTTGCAGCCAGCGGCAATGCCAGTCAGCAAAGACGTTGCAGTGTGCTACTCTAGCTGGCAGCGTTATTTTAAGTCGGTCGTCACAGTCTCGATTCCATTCCGCTGTCGGAACACTTCGCCGATAGCTGCCCCCGCCAAAGCTGACGCATCAGCCCTAGCTCACTCAACGCCCTTCTATTTTAGGTCCTCGCGAGTTATTTCTGTTTGGATGCCACGCTCTACTGCCGCTCTACAGCGCAGAACTTCGTTACGCGGTAAGACAGAACAGCGGGTATATGCGGTTATGGTAGTAGAATCGGTGCAGCGGATTTCTAGTATATTGCCACAGAAACCCGTGGGCCTCCCCTTCACATTCTCGTTTGCCATCCCGATACAGTTTAATCGTTTGAGTCGGGCTGGGCTACCTTTGACGATGCGGCCATACTCGATCAAACGTTGTGCTGTTGCTACGACTGCTATTTATTGTTGTACCGCCAGTATCGTATCCGCTCTCTGGGCCAATCCCAGCAGTTGATGACGGCCCGCTTTCGTTTAGCTAGTTGATTGGCCCTTCTTGACTGCACAACCGCCTTGAGCCTCGTGAGCTTCGATATAATCCAAAGTTGAGAGAACGACGAAACAAGGAAAAAAATGAGAACGCTGGACGGAAGCAAATAGCGGAGATATATTGATTTTCCCTTTTCTAAAATTAAAAAATCATTTAGGCCCCGTGGTGCAGCCAATGTAGAGATGGCGGTAAGGGCAGTGGTGGTTGACGTGTCAGGGTCTTGCTTTGTGTTTTGGCTGGGGGCTCTATCACTGCTTTGTCGTATTAGTATCAGCCGTATTGGTAACTTTAGGTTGAGTGAGAGCATAGAGCAGTCCGTTGCTCGCCTCTCATTTGCTTTTGAGCAGCCTCGAGCACAATTTTCATCTTTGTCTGAACGTCTGCAAGCCGATTTGACACCCATCAGTGCTGCATGCGGGCTTCAAGTTTGGCCTGTAGGGACCTGCGACGGTCCGGATCTTCTATCTGGGGAACCTGGTAGTTTGTCACAGTGGGAAACTGAGTCGAAAGCAAGAAGCTAAGACCGAGAATAAAAAGGTAAAAGAGGTCCAATATGTCATAAGGGACGTTTGAAAGTTAAACGCGCTGGCTGGCTGAAGCTGGACGAGCAAGAAGGCTCGTGTAAGAGTGTGTAGATGAAGAAGATTTTTGGGAGGCCGTTTATGTCGCTTGGTTACGTCAGTTGCCAATCTTCGCACCGGATAGCGAGCACACATGGACAAAGTGTCTCCGTGCATGAATCCTAACAAACGTCGTACATCTTAACAAAGGCAGGTGTTACCACCAAGTCAGCCTCAAAAGTCAATGCTGAAATAGTTCCTCTCATGATAATAGTGGGGAACAGAGCAAACCTCCACAAGTTCCGTGCGTTTGCTGATCGGTTCATCTGCCTGTTCGGCTGACAAGAATTCTGAAAACTTATAAAGCAGATTGGTAAAACTCTGCAAGATAATAAAGGTTAGCGTCTGCAAAACTAATACAAACGTACTAAAAGGACAACGTGGCCTGGGTGGCTCATGCGTAACTCTTTGAATGCGTTGTCACGATAAGCACGTAGCCATCGTCATTTCAGATTTTAAGGTTGGTAAATCCTCATTATGGCATATTGCTTCTACGCCGTTTCGTAAATCGTTTATTCTTATGTCCAATGATAGCCTTGATGTGCCTTTGATACTTTGTGGTGTAAGGGCCCGCTTATTGTTGATAGGAAACAGCGAATTTTTTTGATGGTGCACGGTCAATCTGACATATTAACTAGAAATGTAAGGCTATATGAGGATGGTAAACAATGCCTGTATGAGTAGCTCTTTAACTATTAGAAAAAGGCGTTTCACTTAAGTTAGCTTGGCTAATTTTGACATTGCTTAACAATACGTTTTAGTTTGAATAATCAGTCACGTAATTAGTCAATTTTTATATTAGCTGCAATAAGCTATAAACCTATTACCGACTGAAAACTCTTTAGCTGACTGCCCTCTCGGCGGCCGCAGACCTCATGGATCACATGTGTCGCTCACATTCACCAACAGTATTAAGCGGCCCATAGAAAACACGAGAGAAAAGGTTTGATCAAAGAAGGTCAAATATCGACACCTTTTTTTTCTTCGCCTTCCTCTGGCCCTTTAAGTTCCACTAATTTGCAGTCTTTATCTATTTTACAAGTACCTATATAGACAAAATAATCTATCGCCAATCTAGTCTAACTCAACTCGGCTACACCTTCCAGCTGTATTGCCCTCGAAAAGTGCGCACTGCGCCGACGCTATTCGCACGCTGCTGCCGCTCAATCCAGTGGCGCTGATCGTGGCGTTTCTAGTGAAAAATATCTTTTGCCCCTATTGTATTTCACTGGTCCACTACTGATGGTGCTGATGCTAGCACTTGCTATGAGCTTCACCTAATCTCGAACGTCCGTTCAGGATGATCGAAGCGATCATAGACGTCGACAGCCTGCCGGCCATTACTCAGTAAAAGTCAATCATCTGCTCTTAAACATCTGTAGTGAGTTACTACCGCCTGTAGAAAACAAGTGGACTGCATAAGGCTGCGGAGAGCCGGTGGACTCATCACACTGTCAGCAGCAAAAGTAATAGGCTGAGATAATATGGGACGCGGATGATGCTGTGTAGACAGCGGGTGGACAGAGCAGACATTTCCGAGTATCTCTTACCAGATATAAGGGATTAAAACCTGTGCATTACAGGTCCGCTACTGCCTATGATTGGAGTTGCTTCTGCCGCTGGTAACAGTTTAACTTAGCGCCATCCGAGCCCCCGGAGCCACTGGGGAACAGGTCGTGCTAGCCCTGACAGCGGCGGCACTTGATCCATGCGGCGAACAATGCCCCTGCGAAAAGATATATGAGCTTCTCCACTTGAAAGTTCGTCTATTAAGTTTACGCAGGCAAACACGCAATATTTTTTCTTGCTAGCACCTCATCATCGAGGATCACTCATCGACCGCAAAAATGAAAGGCGGTGAGATATGTTTGGCTTAAGCCCGACCTTGTTCTGCCCTGCCACGTATTCTGCCGTATCAACTAGCGCCGACGGCATTTATAACTAAAAAGCTAGAGGCCTGTTTGTCATTAAATGAAATATTTTATAACGTAAGATGAGTGCCCAGTTTGGTTGAAGACAAAAAAATCAATGAAGAGATGATAGAGATGCCATTTAGAAATGGAAACTTATTTCAATAAACTGTGGTAGGTATATTTGGCCAGATTTAAACTCAATAAGAAATAAATCACTAAGTGAACACACTACGTAAGCATTTCACACAAGCTACTGCTATTATACATCTTAAAGATTACGACTTTGTATAATCTCTTTTTAACGTTAGTTGCGCGGTTTTCATGGTCTAAGCCTGCACTGTGATGCAGCGTAATCGACGTTGCCTACTGGCCAGTAGCAAGTTGTGGGGAACTTCGAACAATTCGGTCGGCGTGGCCGATCAGCGAAGTGGAGAGTATTAGCGGGCCATAATTCTCCAGCCTAATCCAGCTTGCTGTTGACCTTTCCAACAGTTCCCCTCACTCGGTCTTCTTAGCTGGAGCTGCTGAAAATACCGTTAGAGTTGAGTGAGGGCAGATATAGAATATGCTCTCACCAACAGCATTACTTCGATGGAAACGCAGTCAATTATTGCCTTGATGCAATTGCCCCGGACGACCGAAAATCGCGCGATCTGCAGTGCCTGTCTTGGCTTTCTTGTACCCTCCTCCTGACGGTCATTGGAAGCTACCACAGACGTCTGTTATGCCCGCCGCTGATTGTTATTACCAGGGATTAACAGAGTTTACTCGAATAACTCTATTACTTGCTAGCCCTGGCGGGTATTAGTACATAATAACAATGTACAAGAGCAACGGAGACAATGAACCTAGGCGCTGGGGGATTGGTCCAAGAAAGGTATAGACAGACCAGCAACCCAATAATAATCATAGTTAGTATTTATTCGATTTCAATTAACGCCGGATGTGAATGGAGTAAATGTGCATTTTGTGCAGAATATTGATGGCATTATGTATATATATTATATAACAATAATAGCCGCCTCGTCGTGTTAATGTTAAATTTTTGTTCCTGATTCTATTCTAGGGTTCGGCTTCGTGACTTTTGAGAGCGAGGATGTCGTAGACAAAGTATGCGAGATCCACTTCCATGAAATTAATAACAAAATGGTACGTTGCTAAAAATATTCTGTAAACTATTAGTGAATTGTTATCGCTAGATCTGTAGACTCTCTCTATTTTTTTTTTCGGCCCTTCTCTAGCATAGCGTCAACTGCAACGAAAATAGACCTTTATTTCAGAAAACAGTATTTACTTACGGAAAATACGTTTCGCCTCTTAGGTATAGCGATAGTCTACGCTAAAACGTCCACCGTTCGAAATCAAACTCGAGTGCTTCTATTGCTTCTAGCAAATAAAAACACTCCCTTCTTACACTGTGTTGTAGCCATTTCGAAGACATTACACTCTGTCTGTAAACGGTGGGTCTGTAGCCAAACAGGCTTTCCACTGTATCTGTCTGCTGTGACTTGATGACGTCGCCGAACGCATAAATGGTCCGACACCGACTGCGATTCGAAAAAAGCGACAACGGAAGCAGTTATGCTTTCGAGAATTGTACGAAGCCACTGCGCGTCGTCCTTAGAGCGATACAATTTCATCGCCCTGCGCCGTTCGTAATTGTGTCGTTACTTCTTATCCGGTTGCTCAGATTCGCTCTCCTGCTCTTACCTCTTCAGGAAGAATCCTAGAGATCGAACATCAATTGAGCGCGCGCTCATCGCTTCAAGTGTGACTCCGCTCGTGGCCGGGACTGTGGAGCCTGGGTTGTGACAAAATTCGATTCACCCCGCCATCCTCTAACATCACACGCATAACATTGAAAAAGAGCTACATTCTCTGAAAAAAAAAAGCACGAACTTCGCCGCGAAGAGACAGCTTTCCGAGAGGGACGTAAATATTGTTCAACGACTCATTGATTGCTGTCAGTACAAAAAAAAGAAGGATGGGAAGATGCATCATAACGTGACTTCGGGGAAGAAAATCATGTGATAAAGAGTACAGCTATAGAGAATACATTGAACGAGAGATCTCGTCCGGCTAAATATTACCTTTTTGGGTTTCAGCCTTAGGGTAGTCGGTCAATGGGTCAGTCAGCCCCTGCATACATTGGTCACATACAGAGTTAACTGACGAAACTTGCTCTGTTAGAAAGTCGGCTACACATTCTAATATTATTAGTAATGCAATGCGTTTGCTGACACCGATGCCTTGGCTAACTGTAGGATACTTTAACCCTGAGCCAACATGAAATCACAGAAGTACCTACCCGTAGTAAACCAATGTTTGGTCAATGATACTTTTAGTTTTAATATTTGCTTTGTCAAAAAAAGACAACGGTCCTACTTGTCGAATTACTTTGATTTCGCTTTTCCGCTAGTATTAGTAATATTTTTCAAGGAAAACTCTGTTCGTCGATTCTCATATGACTTCTGAAATGTGAGAGCTATGCAGTTGGCATAAAACACCTCTAATCTTTAGCTTCCCTTCGTTTTGCATCAATAATATATTGGTTGTCATCGAGAAAACGCGTACTGTCGTCGGGAAGGAACATCAATGGCGTGTTTCACACTGATCGCGGTTCAGCAGTGCTCTCCTACTAACGTGATAATGTCGGTCCGTTCCCTCGTAGCAGCCGTATGGGGGGACGGGGGGGACATTTTGATGCCTCTCTGGGCCTCCTATCCCCATACAGGGTTTTTCTTCCCTTCCCTTTCGATTCACTAGCCATCATTGTTGTGTGGGAAGTGGTGAGGCTTTTTCGCTTTTGCTACCTTGCGCTTGCATTTTCTGTGCTGCGCTGCTGTAACAGCCTGCTGCCTGCCGTATGCCTTAGGATATGATAGGATCGTCTCAGCCGCCTCTTTGTCTCCTGGGGCGTGCGGCCTAGTCTCATTCTGTCCTTCGTGCTGTCTCATGTTGTCCCATGCGTTACTCTTTCGATTGTTGCACTGTGCTAGCTCCTTTTCCATTGATGTTATTGGTTTGCATTTAATTGAAAAACAATTATTTCTTTAGTAGCAGCAGTAGTCGCGACGGAACAGCCCACTGACCAAGGCACCGACCATCTGTGTAACTGCTTGTCGGTACGTTTGTACCGCTAGCTGACAATCGACTAGCAAGCGAGACTTTCAGCCGACAGCAAGCACCAGGAATACTGCGCGCTCGGTACGAGATGAGGTTAGCTTTTCGCGGAAAACCACTAGTGGCGGTATCAGACTCCTTCAACGAACGTTCAGTAGCATACCAGTAAATATTACAGAGCTATTAGGCGATTTTCTGAAAGGGAGGCTTGTTTCCTTTGATCGTCGACGAGTTGCGTTCGCGTGAGGCGAGTTCACGACGTTGGGCTGCCCGCAGGCTCCGCTTGGGCACTGTAGTGCCTCCTCAAGTCGCTAATTCTACTGGCGCGTTACTCTACACGCGGCGTAACCCTCCACTGGCATTGACAGCCAACAGGGAAGCGTTCCTGCGTTGAATACCCCATATTGTGTAAAAAAGAGACGATGACATGCTGAAGGGGTCCACAAGAAGGAAAGCCACTCCAAAAGGAGCAGTTGCATGTGGCGACTGTCATATATAATAACCAGCAGCTGGCTTGTTATCATTGTCTTATATTCACACGCATTCACAGAGTATGGACTGCTGATCCACGTTGGCGCAGGGGTGCTGTCTGTGCAGCAGAAACGACTCAAGTGAATAGCAATACGAGTGGCTGTTAGTAGGTATCACTGAAAGGTAAAGTGGCGCCATTGTTTCGTTCGCTGCCTATTGGATCAGATCAAATCAATTTTGCTCTTCTTAAATATACGTATATATGGGGGAGCATTCTGATTTAGCCAGACGCGCATCCACTTGCTATTTCCAGTCTTTTTATCGAAAAATAGAATGTTTCTTTTCGGAACTTTAGCCAAAAAGAGCTGTCATCTGCTTTCTTCACCCTTTTATTAAATCCGAAATTAGGAACTTGTCTTATTGTTCAGTCTACGTAGAAAATCTAAGAAATATGTCTAGAAGGCAAACTGAAAGATTCTCCATATAGTTTAGATCTAAAGAGCTTACAGACTAGTCGAACTACAGTTTAAAAGGTAAAATACCTAAGTAAGTCCAAAGTGATGACCCTTTCGACATTTTCAGCGCCTATTTGCGCCTGGTATAGCCGCTTTGAGCCCATTTAATTTTACTGAAATTGATTGTGTGTAGCGTTTTTGAGCGATGGTTTTACGAGTTTTCTCTTGTTAACATTATTTGATACAGAGTTATTCTTGAATAGTTATTAAAATAACATAGATTTTGAAAATAACTAGTGACTGCTCTATGGCTGTAATCACTATAGGTAGCAGTTTCTTACCACACACAAAATAATATATATGTATAATAACAACAACAACTTAAACAGCTTGTCTAACAATTAATTATCTTACTACGAAGCATGTTCGAAGGAGATGTAGTTTTATTTTTTCAACATGAACAGCTCTTCTGTCCCCGATTAAGATGTGCCATATCATACACACCTTTAGAGAAGAGCCAGGAAGTGTTTCTACATTGCTTGACGGGACTAAAATATGTTTTTCTCGTTTGTCCGATTTAATAATAATAATAATAAGTTAATTATAGGAAGCCGATGATGATGGATGATTTTTGTTGTTCATGAACCTTGGAAGTGTCAGACTGCTATTTCTTTAGGCGTTCCAGTCGACAATTACAAAATGAAAATTTTCATATGTCACAACTTCATTAACGAGGTTATAGGTGGTTAAGTTCTAAGGATACACCTTGAATTTTCATATAACTCGTACGAAAAGAAAAGTTTGATTACCTAATATTAGACCTTAGCGATGTAGTGCTAGCTCTAACCTTTAACACTCTCACCAGAGGCCCGATTATTTAGGTAAGGTAAAAACAAAAAAAAAAAAAAAAATAGGTATACATTTACCAACATTTCTAAGTTGAATACGATTATCGTAGAATCGAATAAGTTTTTTGTTTCTGCCAACTAATGCTACCTCATCACCTAATCATGCTCATCTAATAGAAACAATCATAATGATCGTAACGAAGGTAATTATCATCTACTAATTACGTTTCAGGTGGAATGTAAAAAAGCGCAACCAAAAGAAGTCATGATGCCGAACAGCGTTGCTCGAGGAAGGGGTGCAGGTAAAGAGATTTTTTGCATTATACATCTATAGCGACAGTTCTCGAAGTCTTAGCTGATATTTGAAGATACCATTTTTGTGCCTTAGGGTGTATCGCTTTTGTTTTCACTAATGTATAAAATACAAAAAAAAAAAGATCATTACTAATAAAACCTTACGCGTTTTAACCTCTATTTTCAGAACTGGTTTGGCCTCTTGGTGCTCTTACTGAAGGTGAGTTAATGACTTAACGATATCTAACGGCGGTCCTCATTTATTTACCTGATGCTATTTCTCAAATGGAACGATTATCTATTGGAACCATTGACAAGTGTCAATGGAGATCTTTGTCTTATTGCATACTTTTTATGATACACTGCTACTTGCGCACTGTCAGTTGCTGTAATGCACCTCTATCTGTTTACTAAAAACTTCACGGTCTGGCACAGGTCAGGTAGGGACTAGGGTTTTCCGTTTCAGTTGCCTTCAATTGCACTCACTCAAGACCGTCGTAACGCCGGCAATTTATCTATATCAGTAAGCGCATTGAGTACAACGAGGTTTACTGTTCCTACGGAACGTGGGAGACGAACAGGACCTTGTCTAATCCTAATGGCTTAGCCCGATGCCCGCTGGAACCTTCTTGAGCACTTTCGCGTTTAGATCAAATTATGTATCTAAATGTCTATTATATTAAATTCAACCATTCCGAGGTGCCAGCGAAGGAACTTCTTTGCCGGAAACGTCGATGTACCTACCACCCTCTTTGTCGAAATTCCCTGCCACAACGATAAGGTAGGTTTGCTTCGCTTTACAGTGGTGCGGTTCGCGGTAGTTGTCACATGGCCCTACCCTTCTCGCCTGCCGATGAACCTGCTGGCCTGTTTTTTGAGTAGCCGTGGCCTGGGCGGCTACCCGGCTTGCTGGCTGAGCTTGGTCGGACCATGTAAGAGGTCTCCAGATCGCAAGGGCACTCCAATCCTTCGGCTGGCGAGGAGAATCCGATTACGACCATTTATTATACAACAAAGTACTTATCGGGGTTTCCACAAATCTTCGGTTGCTGCTCCTGGGCCTGACTCGGCCGGTTTGGCTGTCCGATCGACTTGGCCCCCCACACGAGCTGAAGTCTGGCCGGACAACGGTGGATAGCCGTCCCCTACCGACCCTGCCCAAGGACCCGACTGCTGCTTGGCTTTTCTGGTTGCTATCTCGACGACCGGGCCGTCATCGTAGGGTCATGGGACCACAGGGGTTCGGTGGCAGAGAGTCGACTTCGGGGCGACGACTGTGAGCGAGTCTGAAGAGTGACGAAGCAAAGGCAACGGTGGGAAGACTTCGGCTTGGTAACGGACAACGAGCATTGGGATATGAGAACAGAAGCTGGACCGAGCGATACTCCATACCCCAGCAACCTCTTTGGCGTCGTCTTTTCCCCTCTTGCCATTGTTACCAGTGGTCCTTCATTTTGCTATCGATGCTTTTGAAAAGGGAAGGGTGGGTATCAGTTAGTGAGCACCCGTTCGATTTTGGCACGACCGCTGGTAACCCCACAGTGGCGTTCAAGCGGCAGCCCTGCATCGATTTGATTCGGTCGACTACTGTGGTGGACCTCGTTAGGGAAACGTCTCTGCTCTCTTGAGAGAGCAAGAGAAAGCAGGCAGAGGATGGGCAGTCGGTGGAGCGTTTGACCAGACCTAACGGATGCAGCTGAGAGCTAGACACAACCGCACACAACTTGGTTTGATGCGGCACGGCAGTGGAATGCAGTGCAACGTACGGGATGGCGCCAGTTCTCTGGCTGATTTTCACCGCTACCATCAGCTCAACAACTACCACGATTGGTACTCCAGGATAGAAAGCTGGGGTGAGTCGACCGACAGGGCGTTCCGATGGGCTTCCGAGAGAGAAAAAGAGACTAGGGAGAAGCTAGGGTTCCTGCCAGTCTTAGTTCACTGAGTGCGAAGGTTTCGAAAGGAACACCGGACTGAAAGGAGACTCTGTGTATCTGCCCGCCTCGCTTATGGTACAGCCAAGGAGCGCCAGCGTCCAGCCGAAAAGATGACGGCCAACGATAGGACTCCGCTGCGGGTGACGTTACTGTCTGCCAATGCCGCCGTTGCTGCAAGCGCAACCGCCGTTCGTTGTTCCCCAACCGTTGTTCCCCCTAGAGTTCAAGGGGGAAAACGGCAAGCAGAAGCACAAGCAGGGCACCGCGAGGGACAATGACGGCTTGCAGTAGTAGTAACAACTGCAGCAGCAGTGAAACCCACTGTATGAATGGATAGAACCACTGTTACTGTCTGCTTCTGCTAGTACCATTGCTTTGCCGCGTCACATGCATGAAGCCAATAGCTGAGCTCTTTGCTACCGCATAGAGAAAACGATGAGCACGACGACAAAGTAGAGAACAGAAATAAAGAGCGTGAGGGGCTTGGCCGCCGCAGAGGGGCTCTGCAGAGAAAAATCTAGTATTGAATATTTCATTATCGCAAGACTTCGTGCAGCACGAGCTGTCGCTACTCCTACGCCGTCAGTGTTTTCCCCTTGCTACCATTGAAGCCGCTACTTGCCACTACCTATCCTGATGTCATCCCTGGGGTTGGGGGGCGAGAGTTACGGAAGAGGCGTTACTACTAGCAGCAGCAGCAACTACAGTAGAAAAACCGCCATGAAGCCACACATCGCCGTCGACTCGCCGTTCACCACGCCAATAGGACAGACGCGGCCACCAGTGTCCTGACTGCTGCCATGGGTGTCGTATAACGTCGCTGTCGTCTTAGCCAGGGGAGCGCCACTGGGGCAGCTTCTGCTTCTGCAGCTTTCAGCTTCCAAATTTGAGCTCCAGTCATCGAGGGAATGAATCCGTCTCAGAGGCAAGAGCAGCCTTCAGGCGCAGCTGGAGGGGACGCGGGCGCACAGACGGAGTAGGTACAAACATGTATGGCCGTAGCTGGAGCTCTTTCCTCGGTTCTTTGTTGCCGTCCATTTTGTGCTGCCACTGCTCAAGAGTGCGCTGCAGCCAGTGCTTTTCACATCTTCCGCTTCCCGCCTCCGGCTACTTCTTAACGGAGAGGACTGACGCCTTTTCTTTAGTAGCGAGCCCAGACAGGCCACCACTTCGCTACTACCAATTGGCCATGGAAAGAACCTCCGACTAGAAACTCAGAAGGAAGCAGCTAGTTAATTCAGTGTTTTCTACTTCTTTCGTACCACTAGTACATTTTACCTCTTTTCCGCTCCGACTTCGTCGTTTATATTTCTGTTGCAGCAGCTACCGGCACTATTTCTGTATGTAAAAGCCGGCACAAATGCCTGCGCCGTTGTCATTGCTCATAATGGACGTCATAATGATCCCGATTCATGATGGTCGAATTTCGTCCACTGCAGCCTTGTCTGTCCGATGTCTATTTATATTTAGACGGGGTATATTATGGTGGCAGTTTGGTGATTGTATACAACTGGCTGAGCTGATCAGTCATACTTACATTAAGGACACGTCGAACTAGAACGTTCTGTCGATGTGTTGTGTGCCAATAGCTTGAATTGTTTTTGAAGTCAGATAGTATTTATTGGCTACAGTTCTATTGTACAACAAGATTTTTTGTACTATTGTATATCTATGTATTACTATATATACATTACATTTTTGCACATAGCCGGAAATTGAGTATATGATATACCCTATAGCTAAGTGTCTGCTCCTAGCAGCTGCAAAATGCGCCAATGAGTCGTCTCCATTGATTCTTTCCTAGTCAGCTCACTGTATGCGTTTCCACGTCGCTCTTACCACGAAGGCCGAAAGCGTAATAAGACAGGGATACACAAGGCAAAGGAAGAATATTGGAACGCTGTATCGGCAGACGAAAGAAGGGACTGGGGGGTACGCGGGACAAGCGACAATAGGAAAACATACAAGAGCTGAAGTGGCGTATACCATTGTCTGCATCTCGCGTACGATGGGGCTTGCTCTACTTACCGTTACTAGCGCTGGTAATGCCAGAGACGCTGCCTGTACCAGCAAAGCCAGGGGCGACGGAAAGCTATCAAGGTGGTGCGGTTTCGAGGAAACGGACCGACGTGTTGAAGATGGAGCCTTCCTGCGTGTTACCTCCTGGAGGCTATGCAATGCACCAAGATACTGACTAGTAAAGCTTGGCAGGACGCCATTCGTAGGCTGCAGACGCGAAGATTTTGGCGGCTCGGGAAAAGGCATCGAACGTGGTAAACGTAATGGCAGACAAGAACGGGTGCGAGAGGAAACGAACGAGCACAGAAAGGATTCATTCTTTCTTTATCGCTCCCACTTGCCCCGCTAGTCGACTGAGCTCTTCCTTCCGATGCCCAACCTGACCTGGAAGACGCTGCGTGTACGTGTACTCGGCTTTCCTGTTTTTGCACTCGAAACAGCGGTAGCACTTGGGCTATTTCCCATCGGTCGAAGTCCGTCCAATGGCGACAGGCAGAGAGCTAACCGAACTATCGCTTCTTTCCTTGTTGGCTAACACGGCCCGTCAACCGTCGCGGAAAGGGATTCTGCCGCTGTCCTAACGTCCACAGAGACTCCACCATGGTACAGACTTCCCCTCCTATAGTTACTATTACCGCTCTGATAGAAGATGTCTGTACTACTGCGTAACTAGCAATAGTCCTGCAACTATTATGGAATTCTTTATGGCTTAAACGGATTCAGGATGACGGTTAAGTCTATGCGATCTGGCCAGTTGGGACGGGCTAAGCGACGTCTACAGGGCCGATGCTCTTACTGGCGAATAGCGATTTGCAGTGACTAACGACTGGGCCTGTTCCAAGACTAACCTTTTCGTTTGGTCCTCCCCTTTCCACCTGTATACCCCAGGTGTCCTCTTGGTTTATTGTATGTATTTTAGCCCAACTGAGAATGTTTACAACAGGAAAGGATAATGGTTACGTGGCTATTTTTTTTGTAATTGTAGACGTAACGGTAGAAGAAATTGATTGAGATCACAAACTACGCGTGACACACTGTTTTCCAGCAACAATAATGGGTCCTGCTTCAACTAGTGTTTGAATGCTAAAAATAGAAAAGAACCCTGTACATATTTTGGTGTTGTTCGGTGTGCGTTCTTTGTATCATTGGCGTGGGTCGTCGTCGTTACCATTCCATCGTATGTCACCGCTTCGGTTGTTCATTTTCGAACAAACCGTTGTTGATGGAAGCAGCCTTCCAGGGGAGACTCGGTCTTGTCTCTCTCTGAAGCAACCATAGCAGCAAAAAGAGTCGCAATAGAGCAAATGGGAAAGACAAACCCCGACGACAACGTCAAGAATACGCGGCGCTTCGCACGGTTTGCAGTGTGTTGTGGGTGAACGACGAAGACAACGGCAGCAAGGCAAGGGCCGACCGAATTGAGTCGATGGAAGCCACTCCGTGTTCGGTTCACAGTGCCTTCTCTTCGTTTCTGTCGGCTCATTCGTACCGAATTGAAAAGGGCCATGCAGAGAGAGGCACCGGCAGAGGTGTTAGCTCTGCCTCTCCTTCATTGACTGAGGAAAGCCTAGAAAAGCCGATCGAACGAATGAAGCTCCCTGACGAATCGCCGCCTCTACTGAGGTCGGCGCCTCTATTCCCATCGCCGCATAGCCAAACGAACGAAGCTGGAGCTGACACCGAAACCAAGGAGGCGGAGAAGATGTCGGAAACACGGGCAGTGAGAAAGGGATAGCAGGGGGCGGCAAAGAGAAAGGGCAAAATCGGGAGCCGAAGACGACGAACAGAAAAGAACGAAGCGTGAGTGCCACTCTTTCTCTTTTTAGCGCGCGGCAGGATCCCCTTCATGCTCATGGCCACCCGCTGCTGTCGCTACCCCCTACCATTTCCAATTGTATGGCCTATCCTGCCTTTTGCACGTATAAGACGATCGCCCGTTACTGCATACAGACAAGCAGAAACAAGAAATCGCAGAAAAGAGAGAAAGAATGCTGGCAAAACCGCTGCAACACCAACGATAAGCTGAGAATCAGTTGCAGTATGTCTGATTGCTGCAGTCGCCTTCACCTACCGTTGAAAACCCTGAGCGTAGCCCAGGGAAGCTCATTGCTCAGTGGGTAAATTTGTGTAAGGGCCTTTCTGCCCCTTGCCTAGCAGCCATCGCTTGTCCGTCTTGCGTTTGTGAAAGCATGCTTTGCTGGCATGCTGTGGTTTGGCATTGGGGTGTGCATAGACCAATATAGTATGCCACACAGGAAGATTGTACGGTTGTGTGGTTACCTGGACATCAGTTATCCAGTTAGCAGATCCGTCTATCCATGTGCTAGCCTTCTTCTGTATTTGTTCGCCTGTAACCGGGCTGTAGTAGGACGAACCTTGTGGGAATGGCAAATTCGCCGTCAATGCGGCCACCCACTAGCTGATCCATAGCCGAATCGCCACGCCAACCAGAGATTTACATGACATAGTTGTATGTAGCACGCAGCTAATTTTACGTCTATCGCTAGCAAAAGCTGATGTCGATACTGGTTTTCTACGGCGTCAATGATTAGCTGCTGCTTGTACTAGACCTGACTACTCGGTCTAGCCTTCCTGGTTTTCCTGACTGGCTTCTGCTCACGATGGCTGCGTTAAATCGTCTGTTAAGCTTTTTTCTCTCTTCGCGCTCGTTTTTTCCCTCCTTTTTATTGTCTACTGCTGCTGCTGTTGCCCTATCTCACTGACTAGTTGACCGGTCTACGTCTTCCGAGAATATCAGATTGAGTAATAAACTGTAACAAATTGAATTGGCTTTTATAAGCTCTCAAAAAACTAACAACTATTAGCCTACATGCTCGAAGGGGTAAATATATATTAGGACAGCAGAAGTAGAATTGAATAACTCCGCTTTAGTAGAAAACAACGCCACATTGGTCGGGTTACGAAAAGAGCGCTAGTAGTGGTAAACAGAATTGCACCACAGAAGCGTCGTTCGATGACAGCGACAACAAAGACGACGAGCCGATTTTAGTGTAGCAAAAAGGGTGACTTCGACCATCGCAGTCCTCAGCTAGCCCAGTCGTCTGTTGGCTGGTGGATTGGTTAGTTGAGTGGAGCTTGCCTCTGGTGTCCCTGTTGGTCTCTTCTGCCTCGTATCTCTTCCAGTAGCTCCTGCATTCTTCTCTTGCTGTAGATGTTTTGCAGAACATTGGCTTTCCTCTAGCCGAACGAGTGTCTTTAGGAAAATGCTTGTTCTCCGCACGACGGACGAGCGCTAGGCTATTTCAAAATGTAGATGTTCCTCTCTTTTAAGTACCGGTTCCTCTGCCGCTTCAGTCCTGCTCCAGTTCGGTGGGCTCCCTGGCGATTTACTATGTGATACGACGCAGCCCTTTTGTGCCGGCATTCCCCCACTGTCCCAACTGGCCCTGCTGACAGGTATCACACGATAGGGAAAGTGGCGGCGGCGGCAGCTGCCGATTTTTGTTGCTAACAGGAAACAGAATGAACGACGTAACCGGCAGAATAACAGTGGCTGCGCAAAGCTTGGTAACGAGTGCTCGTCTCAGTTTGTTCGGGGCAATGGCGTCGTCCTACATGGCAAGGGCAGATGGGCGCCTTTTGGCGCTCGTTGGTTCTTCCTACAGACTGAGGCCCTATGGAGGTAGCTCCCAGACGAGAAAATGGCAGGGCGGGGCAAACAAGAGTCCAAGTGGAATTAGCGGCCCCTTGTCCTATACTGCTGAATTTTTTCTGCTCACCACGTTAAGGCCTCTACCCCCGTAGGGTAAGGGATTCGTGGTACTGCTTAGCTTACTTTTCCTTTTTCCCTTTTTCGCCTTTTGCCTCTTAGACACGAAGTCCTGTCGCATTTGGCACACATTCGTCCCGCTCTCCAAACAGAAGGTATAACTGATAGGCAGCGAGTGGAGTAGGAGGCTGCGAGTGTCTGGCTGTAGGGAACTCTTCTGTGAAAGACTGCTCCTTCAGCGAAGAAGAAGGACTTAGCACCCTGGTATTGCGAACCGAGGTTCCGGCGTAAAGCAGAGGCGTGCCAGAACCAACACATCGGTCGATCTTCGATGCGGCATTGTCGTAAATCGATTGGCCGGTCGGTCCCTTTTTCAATGTGGAGCGCTATAACCTCATTCAAGACGAAATGCCTCATTGCTCTACGCGTTCTCCCTAAGGAGAGCAAACGAGCATCCGTCCATCTGCTCGCCGCGACGAATGGCGCTACCATTGGAAGAAAGCAAAAGACGAAGCAAATACCCGAATCGGCTGGCGTTGCATCCAAAGGAACGGGCTGAAGCAGGCGTCTCTTGAAGGATCCGGATCAAAGAACCAATGAAGGACCGGAAAAGGCAGATAGATAGCAAGCCGTCAAGAGATGAATGAGGTATGGGCCTCGGATTCTGTATCTGCTGAAGTTGCACACTACTGCTACACAGTAGCACAGAGACACCGTTATTACCATAACGCGTGGCAGCGACACGAAATTTGCAGGGAATAGTAACTGGCAGCTGCTTAGCCGGTAAAGGACGCCACGGGTCATCGCTATTTGGACAATATTCGTAACGAACTAAATTGTCCCGGTCTGTTGCCAACTACAACATCAGCAGGAAGTACGACGGCACATATGGATAACAGGCACCATACAACTGAATGAGGTGCCACTTTGTCGTATATTTTCTACGGATGCAGCCTATGGTCCCATATCTGATTATCATTGACTTGTGACGCCAAAAGTTGCCAATAGTAATTTCCTTATGCCGACAACACAACCAATAATCCTACTACTAGAAAAAAAAAAACTTTCCCAGCCGTTCGCACGTTCACTTTTCGAACCTGAAGACGCTAACAATCGTTCGAATATTACGGTCGCAACCACACTGACGGCTTCGGCTGCATGAGCTGCCGATTTTGAAAATCAATTTGTATTTTTTTGAGCGACATATCGGCATCATTATTCATTTAGTTTTAGTATAATATGTTCGATTAGATTCGGATGTTACGGGATTCTGGTTACAATTGAACTCATCGCCAAATAAAAGTCATATAGATAGATTGGCGTGCGTTAATAAACTCTAGCTGTTTCTAGTCAGTAAGTTAAACTATCGTACCGTTGTTTACGGATAAATATGTCTTAAGCACGCTTAGTACGTAACTAGCCTACGCCACGCCTATTGTGTTGTTCAATAACTTGTTTCATCTGCCTTTCTTTGTTTTCCACCTCTGCAAATTTTGTCCCCGCTTTCTCTTTCCATGATCGCACCACCATCGACCTTCATCGATTCCCATCAACCGTCCATCGACGATTTGATCGTTCAGCTGGCTTCCCGGCGTACGGCTATAGCCGCGGCGGCTATCCCGGCTACCCAACCGGATTCGGCTACCCGTTCGCAGGTATGAGTACGGCGGGAGGTACCACAACTGGCCATGCGACGCACGGCATCCATGGCGCTCACGGCCAAGCGCATTCAGCGCACGCGGGCCTAAATCCAGTGGCAACAGCCGGCATGGCTAACTTGGCGGCGGCTAATCTAACGGGCAATCTCGCCGCCGCCAATATGGCGGGTCTGGGCAGTGTTGGCGGGGCCGGGGTGGGCAATGCTGCTCACCTCTGTCACCTGCCTTCCGCTCTGAACCCACTCGCAGCTGCTGCAGCTGCCGCAGCAGCTGCCGATATGTTCAACTTGCATGCTGCCTCAACCGCCGGCGCTTTCTAAGTTTAATTAATAGTTAACAACACAACATAATTACTACTACTATCGTAATTATTATTATAATTATTATTATACTGTATTGCGTATTTAACGGCGTATCGTGTCATACCGCGCAAAAAGCTGTGTAGAACCACGTGAAGTTCAGGCACGTAGGGGATGGAACGTGATGCTCTGAGTTATAGTACTTCTGTAAGTGAGCCTGATTCAAACCTGATTAATTCTTTTGTTACACATCGGTTCAGCGCTGCCAAAGACTCGTGAAAACATACACACGTAGACACACACACAGACATAAAGACATTCACACACACATACACACATTAACAAATTCATTCCACAGGTACACGCACATAAGCCAAACACTACACAAGAGAAAAGCTAACAAGAAGTGATGGATATGAACTGACATCATATTTCTATCGTGTTCGAAAGAAAATGTCGTATATAGAATGTCTGTGCACTACTCGACTGATGTGCGCGTGCCATCTCACGGGATTGACAGCTGGCTAAAAAAAGATTACAAGTCAATTTCCAATAGGCAACTTCTGAGTCCCTCAAGAAAACCCACACTGGACTTGGACTCTGTATGACCGTTTCCGACCTGGCCAGCTGTTTCACGTTTCGTCTTCACACGGCACAGGAACAGCGACAGTAGCGATAGGAACAACAAAGGCAATGAAAACCAATCGTTGTCTCGACGTGACCATTTGTACCTATTCCCCTGTGAACAGTGTGTGGCATCTATGAGGTCCCAAATACCGGAAGCAAATAACCTGTCCGACCACGAAGCAGATCGGTAGTAGCCCTTTGATCTGCGAAAAGCTTTCGACTGGGTGGCGCCGGTGGAAACCCTATTTTTCTTTGCCTCAGGTATTCACACTCATTCATTTCGTACGAATTTGCTTGCCTTTTCAAACAAAAACAACACACCCTCCAGCGAAATTACAACTGTGAGATTATCAAAACGATGATCATTTACAAGATTGCTACATATTAGTTTATTTACATTGAATTTTCTATAAGAGATAAGCAAAGATTTCGAAATAATATGCACGCTACAAGTTACACTACCCCAAAAATTATAGCCTTGTTGCAATTTTGTGAATATCGTGGATCGCTTGCAATTAGAGAGGTTTCAGCGTCACAACTCCGGTCAATAGTTCTGTTTCGAACTTGGCGAAGACTGTCAACGACAGTACGAAAATATACGTTTAAACATTACATAATAACTTATTATAATGTTTAGGTAGTACATATATGCACCTATAATATGGCCTTTTTATCTAATTTCACACAAATAAAGACTATAAACAACATCGAGATTTCAGGAGTTGGTTTGAAACTGTGAGCGAAATGAGATCGTCAATAGGAGTACAAAATAGAATCACGCTAGCGCGCATTGGCGTCGCAGTTTACTCTATCGAAGCGCTTCTTTCTCGAACAAACACCCGGGATTACGGCAATCGAAACGATTACGCATGTTTTGACGATGACCGTGATAACCCATTCCAGTGGTAAAGCTGTTTTAGCGGAAATACGTTAATTCAAATCAATTTGCACTCCGGAAGTCTCTTTTTTAGGTTGATATTTAGCTCTTAAGCTTTTACGCGCACGTTAAAGCTATGTTAGCTAGGTTCATGTGGCCGAATGCTATAGGTGCCTTCTGACGCGGCCCGTAGCTACAGAACGAAGATGTAAAAACAATAGACAATTTAGGGAAAATAACCACGGTGAATCAGTCGCGAAAACGAGGATGCAGTGATGTTATTATAACAAAAAAAATGAACACACGTATTTAAAAAACAAAAAAAAAATAAAAATAGAGCATCTTTCTGATACGTGCGCTTTATCCACTATACAATGAAACAAGATCGCTTCCTAACGAAGAGAGGCAAGGCCAATCTACGCGTATTGACACACTAAAGCGTTATCGAACAGGCAAAAAAATCTCACAATCAAAAGTTCATATCAAAGGTACTTTCAGGGATTCATTACGATGAGCATTAATAAGAAATACGGGACACTGGATGTTCATAGGTTTCTTTATTCTGCGATGATGACTTGGGAGAATATCGACGGAAATGTGGTTGGAAGCCTCGGCAGAAAGCGGTAGCAATTTTTGTAAGGAGATTATAAGTAATAGTTTATAAATAGACACAAGGGAATTCAGTTGACTTAAAAATGATTCACTGTAGTGTTAGTAAATGAAAAAACTAGCTAAAGGAGAAAACCTATTCTAATGGATCGCCTGCCTATTTCAAGGAACCGTGTATACCCGTAATATTTACACCCTAATAAACGAGCTCTTGAGGGTCGGCGCTTAGGGTGTAAATAAGGGACAAGCAAATATGCAAATTCAAAGTTATGTGTTATACATCTTGTTTAACAATAGACATGTACAGAATTCGCAGACAGTTTATTTAAGGGAACTGTCCTAAAGATGCCGATGGGCCTAGCCATCGTTGCAGCCATATAAATTGACTATGAACCGTGCACTGCATGGAATATAGGTAGGCTTCAAGAAGGGTAGATGAGCTTTAGGCTCGTTTAGCAGTTGCAGGCGAAATCAAGTCGATACACAAAATATCTAAATGCGCCTTTGTTTTGATAACAAGAACATTACAAACGTACAGACAAACATATCGTTCTTTTATTTTTTAAAAGCTAGATTTTTTATTTTTAGAAACGCCTATACAAAAACGTATTCAATTGCTTTTCGTCGTATCGATTCTTTAGATGAGAAGTTATCAACGTGCCTATTCATATTGATATGGTTGAGTTTAAAAGAATCACTAAAGGTAAAAATAATGATCGAATAAATGAATATCTAAGTCCTATGAGTGCCCGACGTAAGCACACACATTGACGTAAGCATACACATTGACGTATCTCTCTATCAGTATATATATAGATAAACATTGACGTGTTTCTTGATATTATGTAGTTCTCAATTTGTAAATAAGATAAAAACATAGAGCTTCGCTGTGTAGAATGCAGCGATCCACTGATTAGGCCAGGTACGAAAAATGGTTGAAACACCTTAGAGGAAAGGATATTTACAATTTAGATAAAGTGCTACCATGAGTCAAAGTAGAAGAAAAACATGTGTTTAATGGCAGAACACGTAATTGGATTTAGGTGATATTGACGAACAGCGTTCTTAGCAGTAGACACTACAGAACGAGCCTTCGTTGCCAAACTGACCAATTAGGTACGGGCCTCAGTGGTAGCCACTTTCAAATGAGGCCCGGCTCTATAGAGGTCCTGTGCGTAAAATGCATGTTGGAGAATGGGTCGACGTATTGTTGACGAGGCTTTCCATCAAACTGATTCCTTTTTTACTCTTTGTGTCAGCCAGTAGCGTAGAATTAATAGAGAATAAGCGGCTAATAGAAAATGATCAAGGAGACAATTTTGTAGAATGCCTTTAGGTCGTGTAGTGCGTTGTACTTCTGCAAAAAAACACGTGCCTTACGAGGCTTTCCGCCACAGTTGCATCCGTTTGTCGAGTCATCATAATAATAGGTCTAAGTTTGAAACCTTATGTTCCTATAGCACTAAATCTGTGTGATGTCGGCTTACTCAACGTCCCACTAAAGCTGGCTAGCAAATAGAGACAACTGGCAACCATACAGTTTTAATGCTTTTGCCAAAACTATCACTTTTAATAGGGGATATCCTGTCTCTCTGTAAGATAAAAACGCCCTCGTCATCAGCCCTGTGAAAGTGCTATCTATGTTCCTAAAGGCAGTTCGTCTTCAATACACGAAGCAAAGACCAAAAACATAGCAATATTACAGAGACGTACAATATATATAAAGCGTTACATTACCAGCAACAGTAATAATTACACATCAATACGTGCTGTATAGACAATGGGAGCATTGCCAGTCCTAATAATTATAAACATACAGTATCTATCGTATATATGCATAACTATAGTTAGGATCATTACCGCTGCTTCTAGGTAGCATGTAAGTAGGGTTTACAATAGCTTAGCGAATAGGGCTTAGACTTGAAAGTTTGTTAAGAAGCACAGACTTTAGCTGCGTAGCAAGATGGGCTACAATCTTCAATGTTTCGTTGCCTGCAATAATTCGCTAATTGTACTTTGCATTTCATACCTTTGCGCCTTTTCGAATGAAAAGGTTGTGCCATTGTGAAGATTTAAAGAAAAGTCCGCAGTTTATCTATGATTTTTACAGTTATTACGACTATTTTCGGATAGCTAAAAAGGAACCCCGTGAAGGCTGTACGTATTCTCAGCGTATACGTATTCTCGCTTTCGGAGCGTTAGGGCTCTCGACAATTAAGCTGTGGCAGGGGACGTTTTCTGATGATTCCTAAGAAACAAGATGAACTAAGTTCGATATCGTACATCAAGTTCTGAGCGAGATCCTCACTCGACTTCGTACGAGAACATTTGGCAGTGCCGGCAACAAATACCTGCAAACACCTCGTGTGTGAAGGCCGTACCTTCCCTGGTGTATGATGTGTATGCTAGCCTAATTAGATCTAACTGTCATATAGGGAGTCCACAAAAGGAGAGCAACGAGATCCTAAAGTACATCGAATACTTTATTCTACCCAACGGTGTCGACGCATGCAACGAGTCCTAGAAAATACGTATCTTATTGCCAGTGCCTATAACGATTACGATGATCAGATTTATTTACTAAT